TAATCCCACGCTTGAACCTTTCAGGGGGACCAACGAGGGCAGAGCCTAACTGTTTGGGCCTTCATTTGAATCTAGACCTGCGAAAAAAAAGAAAAAAAGAGGATTACCTACCGCCTGGATGGAAATACCCGCTCTTGTGCGTCCCTTTACGAACTTTTGGACGTGGAATGCTATCAAACAACGCGACCTCCTGACGTCCTAATCATATCATATTTCCCTTTTCCCACCGTCTTTCTGCCTACATTACCTATATTCGTCCCTTGGCCCCCACGCCCCGTCCAGCGGTCCCGGCTCCCGGGACGTGTGGTCTGCCTGCTTCTTCATCGACCGATTCCGTTCTCCACGAAATCCTTCGCGGCCAATCCCCAGGTTTCTCGTTCCCACCGGTTGTCAACTAGTTCCACATCCCCGCAGCTTCGGTCTACCTACTTGACTCTTTGTCTGCCTTCATGGTTTGCGGTTTGCCTGCGTACAATCCAGGCTGGCACTCAACCGGCAGACCCGCGAGGCTGGGCGCAGTCGACCCCATGAGCGATGGATTTTGATGAAGAAACCAAGCCAAATCTGACAACCTTGAACATGAGCTCCAACGTGAGCGTTAGAAGCGAGTCTATCGGCGCTTTCGACCCTGCTACCCAGCAGCAGAATGGGTCAAAACCGCCCATCAAGCGCAGGTCTCCAATAGCCTGTCGGAGGTTCGTCCTGCTCGCCAGTGCGGCGGACATATCGCGAACTTGACGAGCTAAACTGTGTCCCAGATGCCGTCGGATGAGGAGCAAATGTGTGCATGAGAAGGGACAGCCGCCGTGTAAATCCTGCGCGGAAGCCGGCATACCAGCGAGTGAATGGTACCGTCCACACCGAGCAACGTCCGTGACGCGATCTCGAAGCTAATCAACGACAGCATCTTTCCCCAACGAGGCCAGCCGGATCTCGACCGCGAATACCGGCATCCTCGCTTGAGGGCTGAGAAGGCCGCGAAACGAGAAGCCGACAAGGCTAGACGTAGCGCGTCAGATGCTCAGGTCCCTCGGGGTCCCGGCGCGCCAGCTCTTCGTAAACCTGCAGACGAATGGGAGCTTCTCCCACCACTACCCGAAATCATCGACGCAGTTCACGGATTCACCCGCAAGTATTTTCAGCTAGGTTTCATTCCGAAGGAGCTTTTCCCCCGGCAGCTGCAGCAAGATCACCGTTCCGTCAGCGTCTTCCTTGTACTCGGTATCCTCAGTGTCTCTGCTCGCTTCTCCCCAGCCCTGGCCCAGAGATACCATGGGGAGATGGAAGCCGTCGACTTCTTCATGGAACGGGCTAGCAGCCTCGCGCTCAACGAACTGTACCAAGAGCCTACCCTAGAGAGATGTCAAGCCTTTTATCTGTTAAGTCTAGCGCAGCAAGGCGGCGGTATGAGGAACAAGAGCTACGTGAGTTCCCTGCATGGAGTATTCATACGGGCAGTGCTGAACGCTTGCTAGATCAACATTGGCATTGCCACAAGGATGGCCGTCTTGATGCATCTGCATCGCGAAGAGTTCTACAAGATGAAGAATCCCACGAGGGAGATGATTATCAGGGCGGAATCTGCACGGAGAACTTTGGTTAGTTGGACAATGCTTCAGAGGGGGGAGAGCTCTGCTAACAAATATATCATAGTGGATGTTACACAGTCTGTGATCACGAACGAAGACGAACGTGGCTTTTGCTAACAACACGTAGGCCAGGACAATCTCCATTGCGGTGCTCTTTCCCCCGTGTCACTAGCTGCCAACGACATCACGGCTCTTCTCCCTAGTAACGAGGAGGACTTTGCCTACGGCCGTGAGCCTTTGTCCCGTGCCGCGCTCGAGGACACGCCGCCAGCTCGCGAGAACCCTTCATTGATCCACCAACCATCTCGATCATTGTTCGCGAGTCTGATGCAAGCACATTATTATTGGGGGAAAGTCGCTCGTCGAGCGTTGGCAACGATGAAGAGCGCCAATCCTTGGGATCCGACGAGCGAGTACGCCATTACAGCAAAGCAGATCCTAAGCTGGGAACAGCAGCTTCCGCAAGATCACCGATGGAGTATGGTTCTTCTCAAAGGGCACAAGTCCGTCGGCGAAGATCTGGTATGTGCCAAGATTCACTACGGTTGGAGTTGGAGTTGACAAGTTCAGGCCTACCTCGGTATCACTATGATAACGAAACTATGCAACATTGTGCTGAGGCGTGCGTATCTCGAGAAGTAAGCCCAACCACTCTTCGTGCTCCTACTCCTCCGCAAATACTGACCTGAATAGCATCATCAAACCAGACGAGAAGGATATGCAACGCCGGGCGTTTTTCGCCAACATGTCCGACGACCTCTTCCGAAACGTGCGGGAGTTGTACGAGCAAATCGATGCTCAATTCAGCGTCAGATCCTCGGAGGAAGGTGTGGGAGCCCAGATGGCGTCGTTCTGCGTCTACAGCTGCGGCCTTTTCTCGACCTACCTGGTCAAGTACCGGAACAGTGAGTACCCAGAAGCCGTGGAGATGTAACCGCATCGTGCTAACCATCCTAGTCTGCTCCGATAAGAACATTGTCGCGCAGGCTCCGAACATGCTCCAGCGGTGCATGTCCATCCTCATCGAATCTAAGCAGACTTGGCCCCTCGCCTCCCGCTGGCTCGAATCTCTGGAGCGCTTCTCGCGTGATCCCAAAGCAGCTGCCTTTAGTCTTGAGGGCAGTATGGCCGACGGCGTAAGTTCCAGCCCCTATTTCCAACCCAATGGTGCTCGAGAAGGGAAAAGCTGACGAGAATCATATCAGAACGACCGAACCCTCCGACCGCTCCATCCCTCGCCATCCAACTTCACAAAGGGCCCACGCGCCGAGGCACCCAAGTACCAGCTCCCAGGCCCGCCGCCGACCCCGTTGAACGAGAAGAAGCCAGTGCCACTACGACACAGCAGCATCAGCAGCAACGCATCCAACAGCGTCCTCCCTCCCCCGAGCCCATCACCGAGCCTACAACAACAGCAGCAAATGCACCAGCAACACAACTCTGCCTTCCCGCTCCCGCCGCTCATGAACACAACCCACCAACACCAGCCTCAACTCCATCACCAACAGCAACACCAACATCATCAACCCCTCTCTCCACACCATCAACAACAACACCACCTGCTACAACACCAGCCGCAACCACACCACCAACTCCAACAGCAACAACGCCACCAGCATCATCCTCCGACACCCCAAATGCAACAACACCACCACCAGCACCTCCCCCCAGAACTACACCCCCAGTTCTCCCCACCCATCTACTCCCAAGCACCCCCACCCTACAGCCCCAACAACGGCATGGGCATGCTCGTTCAAGCAGCAGCCTTCGACACCACAGGCCCCATCCTCGGCGCGCCGGCGCAGCAGCAGGCTCCGCCATCATCGACGAACCCGTACGATCCCACCACGGCCGCGGCGGTGGCGGCGTTTTACAATTCCCCGGGCTCCGCGTCCATCGTTCTCGGCCCCGGGACAGACGGCTTCGAGTGCGAGCTCCAGAGCTGGTTCGACGGCACGGCGCCGGTCCAGGCGACGAGCTGGATCGGGAACGGGGCGGCCGGTCTCGGGTGGTTTGGGTCCACGTGAGCTGTTCACACTGAAGCGATGGCCTTCATCGAGGCAGAAAGCAAAGAACGGAATCAGAGAAGCCAAAAGAAAAGATTGTGAAAGTGCGCGTGTGCGTGAGGAGAAAAAGTGCTATTCGAGCGTCAATCTGAGCGATTCAGTCATTTCCTTTTTTTATACATCAACCCCCTATTTAATCATACCTAGAGATCCGGCGCCAGGTTCGGGAAAATAAGGAAAGGAGAAAAAAGATAACAGAGTCAGCACTACTTGCGCCAAAATCTCGGAGGAGGGGCCGGCGCAACAATCATGAGACGGAAATATGAACCTTTGGGATCAGTGGGTCATTTTGGATTCCATCATCTATCTAGCCGTGCTTTCCTTTTTGCTACGGGGTGTTGCTTCATATATACTTTAGATCGAGATACCTGAGTGAATTAAGTTCGACCTTTGTCTACAATGCCATCTTTTCGCGAATTGACCCATTTGTGTAAGGTGTACTCTGTGTCTGTCAGATGAAACGGATTTGGACCGACTTCCGTGCAGAAATTGGACTCACGCTAACACCGAGAAGCTGGGGAGTTGGAAGAAGTGGTATCATGTTGAACGGTGTACTGGAAACAAAACATCTGAAAGGGAAAATGCTTGATCTGTAATTTCAGGAGGTGGGTTTTGTTTCCCATCAAATTTTATCAACTTGTCCCACGGGATGGTATATTCAACTGCAAACATTGAGAAGCACGGCGCTGCCAGGAGCGAAAAGATAACCCACAGCGCTTCGGTTTCGAAGGATGGAAACAAAGCCTGGGCACAAACACCGACGACGCCCATCGCGGTCTGGATAAGTGTACACTGAAGTCCAGATAGATAGAGTCCGTCAACTTCGTCATGGTACTTTTGACGAGTATTATGTAATGGTTTCGTCAAGCAACAGAGATAATTTCATCGTGGCAGAGTGTGGGAAATCCATCCATGTAGTTCGCAGATATCTGCCTCAGAGAGCAACAGTCATGGTATCCAAGTCTTATATCATGACACCACATTCACACATTTCAGAGACTGAAGGGGGCAAAACTCATTGAACTTCTACGACTATCAATCAGTGCTAGACATGAAGCCACTTGACCTCGTCATAAGCACGTTGTGTGCCGTCTGTTTCTTCCTCTGCAGGATCCGTCTTTCCTCGCTGCGCCTACACTCTCCTGTGATATGCCCATTTCGCAAGGCCCTTCCTTTCTCATCCGCCCGCCGAGTGCGCGCGAGTCTTCTTTCCGATGAAGGAAAAGATACTCCGACGAAATCGCATACAAGTATGGCCTAGAGCAGAAAGCCTTCAGAAAGGCTAAAGGCTCTTCCTTTCCCGACCCACCTGATCACTTGACCAGGTTGGTTCGTCCGAGTTGGGATGTGGCCGACTCCGAAATGTGTATTGACGTTGTTCATTTCCCCGTCTCTCATTGCTCTCGTTTCCCCGTTGAAGGATGAAATCAAACTCCGGGTTCCATCTGAGGGAAACTCCTTCTACATGACTTTTAGGTCGCCAATGCGCTTTCTATGCGCGGCGTACATGACAATGAGGACTCCCGCCTTCTCTCTAATCCAGCTTTCCGTCGCGAAAATCAAAGTCCAGAAGATAACAGCCAAGGGGTGGGTGAAGTGGTTGAATAAGGGGTTGCAGTTTCGTGATGTGATATGGTGTGCTGGCAAGGGGTATTGGGGTAAAATTAGTCCTGGGGTGGTGGTGCAAGGGTGTCTATATACACGCGAGGGAGCTCCGTGTCTTTCGATGCTGTGTTGTGGCAAGAGCTGGGATTGGCTGTTCTCTCTCTCCTCCGTTTGACGCAGATCCGGGTTTCGGTAGAGAAACCGGCTGCTCCAGGATATGTGCTGGGCTTGGGGGTTGGTTGGTTGTGAATAATCAAACAAGTCGAAATACAGCGTCAGCCTCAAGCTTTTCAAAGCTCAAGTCTGCGCCATGACGCCGGAGGCACCGCCAAGCTGACGCTTGACCTGTTCGCGTGCCCAGCGAGCGGTCTCGATGGTTCGGGGCTGGAACTCGCGGTTGGTCTTGGTCTCCTTGATGAGCGCAGTGAGCCACTCCTGGCGGAAGACGTCGACAAGCTCGCCGTTAGGGTAGGCCTCAGCAAGGTCGCCAATAACGCCCATGGATGCACGCATGAGAGCCTCGCTACGGTTCATGTCGCTGGCAATCATGTTCAACAGCTGGAAGATCGAAGGCACGTATTGCTGAAGAGCAGGAGCTGCAGAAATGGGTTAGCGGAGAGAACAGAAACAGGATCAAAATCATGATTAGATGAGACTTACTCTTGCCACCGGACTTCATAGCTCCGATGATACCACCCCAGGCATCCATGATACCCTCGCGAAGAGAGATGACGTAGTCGTACATCTCGTACGGGCCCTCGGGGCCGGCGTTGACAGTCGCCGCCTGCTGCAAGACCTGAGCGATGACGGACAGGTATGTCTCAAAGTGGCCGCCAATGGCGCCAGCAATGTCGCCGAAGCACTGCAGGATAGCAGGCTTGAACTGGTTGCTCAAGGCGGTGCTCTGTGAGAAATGTTAGCGAGGCCTCACTTACACGTACAATGCCAACCCCGTGTCGCATCCACATAATGATGGATGACAACACTTTGAGTGCCGATTGGCGGTGATAACGTACCTTGAGGTTGTGAAGCAGGTGGTTCATGAAGTTGTCGCAGTACGGCTGGCTGCGCTCGCCAAGGGATCGCGTCAGATCGCTGACAAGACCGATAGCCATGGAGCACAGTGCGGGCTCCTCCTGGTTTGACAGAGCGTTGTAGAGGAAGGGAGTGAAAGCCTCCATGTACTTGGAGAAATCCTCCTCCATGGCGTTGGCCAGAGCGCTGATGGTAGCGAAGATACCATCGGGAACGCTGGACTTGCTGCCGACGGTGCTCAGAATCTGGAGCAGGGTCTGCATAATTCTGTCGCCCTGGGGAACAATCTCCTTGTCGAGTCTCTGGATGATGGCCTGGAGAACGGTGCACAAGCTAGTTTGCATCTCCTCCAGCATGATCCTGTCCTCAACACTAACGACCTGGGTCTGCATGGGAACGGTACCCTCTAGGCGCTCGATGACGACGCCGGAAAGGGAGGCGATGGGCTGCATGCTCTCGCTGGCGGCATTCTGCACGAAGACGTTGAGAACCTCGTAGGCGGCGGTGCGGACGTACGAGTCGCAATCGGGGCGGGCCGTGAGACCAAGCAGGTTGGTAACACTCTGGTTGAAGTGAGGAGTCAGAGGGTTCTGAGCGGCACCAAGGTCGCCAGAGAAGCGCTCGGCCAAGTTCATCAGGGCCCAGCAGCACGAAGATGCTATCTTTGCGCTGCTCATGAGGCCGTTGAACAGGGAGCGAATGAGAGGGTCGAGGTGCTGGTTAGGGTCGATACTGTCGGACACGCTCTCAGTGATGCGACCAAGGGCATAGGCGGTCGAGTCCTTGACGTGCAGGGAGCTGTCGTCCATCATGCCGATCAGGATAGGAAGAGCCTGCTTGACGATGGGGTCGAGGACCTTCTCATCGGGGCCATCCATGATGGCGCCGAAAGCAGAAACGGCGGCATCACGGTGGTGCCAGTCTTCGGCACGCAGGTTGCCCTCAACGAATTGCAGCACGGGGCTGATGATAGCGGCACCGATGGCCTGAGCGTAGAGTTGAAGACACTGGTAGGCGGCGCGGGCCAAGTTGTACTCGTCATCGGCCGCATCCTCGTCCTGCTTGGTCAGAAGCAGAAGGAGAACGGGCACAACCTCGTTAGCTGCTACGCGAGCGAAGTTGTAGAAGGGTCTCATCTGGTCGGCGCTCTCGACCTGGGCGTTGTCGTCCTCGATACCGATCTCCTCCTCGCAGACGGTGCTCCAGAATTCAACAGCCAGCTTGGCAACGTCCTCGTCCGAAGACTTCATGCCCAGAATGGTAAGACCGAAGAGAGCCTTCTCCATGTAGAAACGCATGTTATCGTAGTAGAGACCCATGATGCGGTTAAGGCATCCAAAGGCGCCCTGCTGTATCCGGGAGTCATCGGCCTGGGTGGCCTCGCAAACGACCTGCATGATGTAGTTGCGCTCGCCCTCGTGCTTGAAGTTGTTGCCAACGAACTCGAGCGAGTCGCCCAAGGCTGTGATTGCGGCCAGGCGAACCTCAAGGCTCGTCTCCTCCTTGCGGGCACCCTGAACGACGGCGGTCAGGATGGCGTTGGAGTGAGCAATGAGAGCCGTTCGCAGATCGGGATCTTGGCTTTCGCAGATGTAACCGATCGTGGTCAAGGAGGCCTGCTTCTGGTGTTCGCCACCCTCGCTGATGTTCTTAACAAGGATGCCCATGAGGTCCTGCCACTGACTTCTCGGCAGCTCGATAGAAGCGATGGAGGAGATGACCTGAGCAGCAGCCTGGCCGGCCTGGGAGTTTGAGGAGCCGAGGGTCTGCAGGGTCAAGTTCTTGACCTGCGTCTTCGTCTCTTCGTCGGTCTGTTGGAGCCATTTTGCCTGGAGCTCTTGGTGACGGGCAAAGTCACGGGCAGTGAAAGCGTTCTTCAGGGCGAGACCTGCGGCGGCACGAATGGAGCCATCGGCGTTGTCGTTTGCAAGCTCTTGGACGAGAGTTGCGAGGTATAGGGGCTGTTGGGAAGGATGGTTAGCAAATTTGCCAGCGGCGGTGGGGGGAGGGGGGACTCGGGATGCAAAAGTGGGCGGGCACGTACGAAGTTGTTGTCGGCTGCTTGTGTAAGTTGCTGCTCGGCGGCGTTGCGCAAGTTCGCGTCTGTTCAGAATGTTAGCATGGCCATGAGGGTTGTGGCAGTTTGTTGATGCGCGATGTGAGGGCGGAAGCCAAGAAGAGCAGGTTCTGTTCACATTGCCCTGGCGACAATTTGGGGGAGAAAGGAGGGGGGGGGATAGGATTTGCTGGCGATGCAAAACCTAGCAGGCGCAGTGAAGAATGAACGAGACCAAATGACGACGAGGACGCGAAAATAGCTTACCTGGCGACAGCGAATTGGCCAAAACTTGGTTGATCTCTGAGCCCGACATGTTTGCCGCTCTCAATGTGTGGTGGTTTGAAGGAGGTAAGGCTGAGCCAGTGCCGATGTTTGGAGAGGTTCGGAGGGGGGCTCGTTGACAGGTTGCACGTGTCAGGAGGTGGGAGGGAAAGGGTTCAGCAAGGCACCGCAGCTGAGGTCAGAGCAAAAGCGGGAGACGCGGGGGTGTTTTGCGGCGGCGGGTGGTCTAGGCAGAGAAGACAGGACCAGAGGTTTGGTTTGGTTGGCGTAAGATGGTGTGTGAAGCGGGCGCCAGGGGCAGGGTCGGCAGTGCGTTGAGAGAGCAGCGACCTTGGGAGAGTTGGTAGGCGAGCTGGGAGGATGGATGGGTGAGAATGACCGGAACCGAGCGAACGGACGGCTGAGAGGGAAAAAGGAAGCGAGAGAGAGAATGTGCCTGTATTGTATCTGTGTGTGAGAGAGATGACAAAAAAAGGATTCGCTCAGGATTCCGAATTAAAATGATACGCCAAAGACGATGTCTCGTGGTAAGGCCTTTTGCAAGAATTAGAGGGCGTACCGTAAAGAAAAGATGGTTGCGACAATGAACAGGCGCAGAAACCAGGTGGTGAGTAATGTGAGGATTTTTATGGTTTTATTTATTTCCCAGTCTCTTCCCTTTGGGTTGGTGAAGGAGAGGAAAAAATAGGAGCGGGACCTTGACGAGGTTGTTGACGATCTCAGGCTGCCCAGTTACAGTGTTGAAATGGCCCGCTATGGTAAGGTACGCAGTTCTGGGGTGCCGTAATAAGGTCAGGTAGGCAGGTACCTCTGCCAGGGACATGAAAAGCAGCAGGAGCGATAGAGGAGAGCGGGCAGGACGGGAAGGGGGGAATGACGGTGACAGCGGGAGCATTAGAGACAGCATACAATGGGCGGTGAATACGCATAATCCCCTGGGAAAAGGCACCTCAGGTAGCAGTAGTGGATGTCTACTCGTCACCTCTACTGTTTTTTAGTTCATCTTGTTGCTTAGGTGCAGCAAGGTCTCGCACCTTCTTCTCTACTACTGATACCTACTGACGGAGTACCTCATGGACAACATCTTACCTTCCATTCCTTACAGTGCGGGAGATGCAGCTCCAGGAGGTACCCGTCATCCATCCAATGGAAATGCAGAACCGCCACTTTCTACAGGCTGAGGAGGTGACCCGACAGTGGGCAGCCGATAGGGGAACAAGGGCAAAAAAGAAACGACTGAAAAAAAAAATTAAGACGTCGTTAAATGAGTGTGGGGAAGGAGAGAGGTTTCTGATGCACGAAACCGAGGAGGGGTCGTTTCCGTCTGCTTCTAGCTTCGTCCGCTTCCTGCACTCTGGAAATTGTTGCCTACCTTCCTATGACTTGAACGGACGAGGAAGGCACGGAAACAAGAAACACTCCTTCCCCCTTACTTTCTATGTCTGAAGCCATTTTCACATCTTCAACGGCACTGCAAGTCCGTTTGAAGTGTTGCTTTTCCGGCGTCTCTCTGGATTGTTCACAAGGCAGCCAGGGGACATGCTGAACTTTCGGCCAAAATATGTATCAACCGAGGGCGGGGAGGGGCAGAAAGTGAATCAAAATAATGAATGAGGCACTCTGTTTTTTCCTTTCCTATTGCGGCATACCTTTGGCACCGTGTGGTCCCGCTTCGCCTGTACGTATCCGATGGTTGCCAGGAACCAAGTGGAAGTTAGGCGCTCATCAACCAGTACCTGAACTCATGGCATCATTGCACCATAAGATAAGTCTCTCCAGATCCTTGAATATGGCGTCTC